TATCTCAAGATATAATTCGGAGACCGATCAAGAAAATAGGATAGAGACCGCTTCAGATGATACAGGCACATATTATCATAAAGTTGCAAGAGAGTATAAGATACCACTTTCTGGGTGGGGCTTAGTGAGCGATTATAGATATAATTTCAGTGTACCTTATTATGCGAAATCCCAACATTGTCCACATGCATTTTATGTCTACATTGAAAACTTTCGTCCTATAGACAATTTTGAACCATTTTACAAAATATACCTATCTTTTCTCTTTACTCATGATCGAGCATTAGTCCTAACATGGGATATAGAAACATACGATTCGCGTGGGTCAGGAAACTTCTCAGAAGCTAAAAATGACACATCTCAAGTTTTTAAGATCTGTATGACCCTATATTGGAAAGACGATCTGACCCCCTTAGAGCAGATATGTTTAGTCGATGTAGAAACAAAACCAGACCCATGTTGGATTATGATTATATGTGGAAACCAGACTAACATATTAAAGGGATTCGCTTTATGTTGGAAATATTTTGCCCTAGATATCCATCTCGGTTTTAACGATTCAGGATACGATTGGCCTTTCATTGTAGAAAAGGCTACCAAATTAAATGTTCTCAAGTGGATAGTTCAGCGAATGTCAGCAAACCCGCATAAGAAAGCTGATGCTGAATCTATTCTCACTTGGAATTATTTTGGTGGAAGAGGAAAGCCACTAACTAATGGTTTCTTCCAAAGGAGCCAATGGGCAAAGAAAGCGGACAAGGATCCCAAAAAACCATTAGGCTGAGATTCTATCGATATCAAAATCAACCCAACTTTGAAGTTCGAATCCTCCTTTCTTAAGCTCCCAGGATGTGTACCTATCGATGTTCGCCTAAGTTTTATGCAACTCCACCCCTGCTCTAAGAAAACATCACTCAAATACTTCTTAGAAGAATGTGGTCTCAATGGCAAAGCTGATATGCCCATGAGTAAATTATGGAAGTATTATTCAGAGGCCAAAGATGGGACTTCAGTTACCTCTAGCAACCAAAATATGCACGAAATCGTAAATTATTATGTTATAGATGCTTTATGTTGTCAGGAGCTCATGGTCAAATGTAATATTATAAATGATTATAGAGAAGTCGCTTCGATCGCATATATAACTTTATTCGACACGCATTATTACGCTATAGGAAAGAAAGTATATAATCTCTTAGGCGTTGAAGCATGGGTGCAAAATATTCTATTTACCATAAAAGCTTTTGAGCAGAAAGAATCCAGAAAATATCCAGGAGCATATGTTTTCCCTCCTGAGAAAGGTCTTGAGAATAAACGTCCAATGACAGGTTTGGACTTTGCTTCCTTGTACCCTAGCATAATTATGAACTATAATCTCTCGCCAGAAAAGATGGTTACAAGACTTTCAGAAGCGGATGCGCTAAAAAGAGAGAACAAAGTACTTCACAATATTGAATTTCACTTTAATGGTCGAGATGTACGAGCATAGACCATACGGCATGAGAATAAATCCAATCAGAAAGGTCTGTTTCCAAAAATATTAAAAAATTTGCTTAATATGCGAAATAGAGTAAAGACTCAGTTAAAACTTCTCGGAAAGAAAAAGGACTATATGGGAAAGTTAAAAGTAGAATGGATTCGACTAGCATCGGCGGATCTTTCTTGGTGGCGAGCGCAATCAAAGATGTTTTATCCTCGATAATAGATAAGAAGAAGCATGCCAAAATAGCTGATATCCTTAATCCTTTTATTAGTTCATCGTACGATGATTTCAGTAAAGAATATGATTCCGTCTGTTTCGACCATAATTCTTTGAATTCAAAGCAGAAAGCGATTAAATTGTTTATGAATTCATTTTATGGTGAGATGGACAATAGCGATTCCCTATTCAAGTTTATAGAACTCGCCAGAGGTGTTACTTCAGCTGGACGAGAAAATATCAAACTCGTTGCAAAATTCGTGAAAAAGAAAGGTTTTGGGATAAAATATAGTAATACCGATTCCCTATATCTCACTTGTCCAGAATTTTGTTATGAGGAATGTGATTTAGCCTACAACAGCGGGAAAGGCACAATCTCGAAACTAGAGTACTGGACTGAAATAGTTAAGATTACTATGATCGTAATGGAGAAATTGCGCAATAAAGTAAATACCTTTCTTAGACTAAAAACTAGATCAGATTATCTTAAGATGGCTTATGAAGAAGTATTATTCCCAGTAGTATTCACTGGAAAGAAAAAATATTTTGGTATTCCCATGAAGATATCCCAAACTTTAAACTAAAAGAGCTTTTTATAAGAGAAATTGATACTGTAAAAAAGGGGAAATCCTAAGTTTTCAAAACCATAGGGGATAGAATTATATTGAGATCTATGGATATTAACAATAACTGATTACTTCATGATATCATTGAAGACGTTCTCAGGGACGCTATAACTAATCCCAAGTAATAGGATTTTAAGCAGTTTATAGAGACCGTCATATAAAAACCTAATGTGAATAACCAAAATGTCCAGCGATTTATAGGACGAATGAGAGAAAAATATGAGAATAGAATTCCAACACTAGGTGAATGCTTTAGTTGTGTAGTGACCAATCTGGACACGACTTTGATTTACATAGCAGGAAGTTAAATCTGACTAAAGGTAACAAAATAAAATTTGTAAACATAACTAAGGAATTGGATAAGGAGTTAAATTTATATCATTATTATGAAAAAACTATCATTAGTCTCTGTGTCTGATTTATCATGTACAAGAAGAAATACGAGCCTACTCTTATAAGCAAAATCATGCAAATCAAAGATCCAGATGAGAAATATATGCAGATTGATAATTATGCTCAAAAATAGGCTAAGTTATGGCTTGAGGGATTTGTTAAAGAGAATATTATAGTGAATGGTGCTACTTTCAAGAGGATAATATCCTGCGAAAATGCTTATAAATACACCTATAGAAATGCGGTCAAAGAAGCACAAGAATTCACTGGTCGAAATCAAAACATTCGACCATATAACAAATCGGCTAAGTTTCAAACAATTCAGCAAGAGATTTTGGCTTAATTTTGGCTAGAATCAAGAATTGACCAAACTTCAGAAAAAATTCAAATATGTGTAATTGTCGATCATTTATGTCGAATTTTTGATGTTAAAATATTTGATAATAATGGTATTATGCCAAATTTTGACGTCATGAAAATTAGATAAAAACGATATTATGCTGAAATTTCGACGTTAAAAAAGGGTTTGATAAAAACAATAAAAATTTAAATTAAATTTAATTTAATAAATAATATTTTTGAATAAATATTCTTATAAAATTTGCTAATTGTAACACGATTCAGCGAATGTTAAGTTTTTGATTAACCAGATTTACAGCTAAATACTTCTGAGTATTTTTTTGAGTTGACAACTTATACTTTACAGGTATGAATCAACCAAGGACATTGTGAACTGGAATAATACAATTCCAATTTTCAGGATAAAAGCTAGTATTTTAAAGCTTAACATTGCATGATTTTTTTTCGTCATCAATGCTGAAATAAAATCTAGTGTCAGCTGAACTCATGTGCTCATATTATCAAATATAAGCTAAATAGTGTTTTGTTAGTCCACTTGGTAAATCAACTGTATGATCAAAAAAATATTGAATCTGCCTCGAATAAGTATCAACAACATCATCATTTGTAACAAATTTCGCTAAAACAAATGAACTATTCGTATATCGTACTGATACTACAGATCCAAAAACTTCTGACCTGATTTGATACTGTCTGAATTTATCAATTGAAATCTGAATTATTATCGAGTCTTCCTCACCTTCTCCAAATGGTTTCTGAAAATTGAGCATCTTATACGTTATGTTATAATATTCTACCATTAAATCAAACATTGAGCTTGAAAGGTGGACGTCTTCAGAAGCCAGTTTCAGCATACTTTCAGGAAATGGCTCACTACCAGTAATTCTTGATTCCTAGATGTTTCTTGAGTTGAACCAAAAATGATGCATCTCATCTGATGAGAATTGATCGATTTCTGACAAGGAACCAATGGCAGGCTGATCATTAAGTAGTTTGAGACCCTTTTAGGTATTTCAAAACTTTTTATATCATTAATTCAATTATCAAGTGAAAAAGTAGACCAAAAAGTGACTGAACTTAAAACCAAAGAAGCTGATTTAAAAGTTAAAGAAAGCGAATTAGACACTCTAATTAAAGAAATAGTGGCTACTTGTCAATCGACGCATGATTTCTGGTTCAATTTGCCAATTGCTATTTGGTAAAGAACCTATAAATTTCAAATTATTAAAAAAATAAATTATCAAAAATAACAAAAATAACTTTAAAATAACACAAAATAAGCAAAATTCGACTTATCTAAAGTGCCATTCATGCGTTTGAATGAAAAGTACCAGAATGCATAAAGGGGACCATAATCATATGAACATTCACATAAGTGAAGCGAAAGGTGGAGATTCAAAAATACTTTATTTTGACCGTAATGTTCTTCGATTAATTTAACTATTTTAATTAGCTTTTGATGAGCTTCTTTCATTAGGTCAATCTCTACAATTCAGCTCACTAAAATAGCACAAACTCTTACAAAGTATGTAAGAATTTTCTGGTCCTTGGCTGAAAAGTGCTCCTAAAGTACAACTATAGCATAAATGGCAAAAAAAATCCACTATTAATCAGCTGTAAAATTGGAGAAACCTTCTCCACAGTCGATTTTGCCTGGAATTTGACCCTGATTAGATGAAATATAGAACTTATTTATTTCCGTCTGAATTTTGTTAAGTTCTGCTAGCATTAATATCCCATCGTCGACCCATATTCGTTTAACTATCCATTTTATGATGCCTAAAAATAGACAATGCATCAGATCAATAATGATGAAATGAATAAGATCGAAATATGATAGACAAAGCAATTCAGACCATCTTACTCTGGTTTGTTTTGCAAATCGTTTTCTGGTAGCATCTGATTTGCAATATCTCCATCGAATTGCATCTCAACGATGCTGAGCTGAATCCTGAGTGACAAACCATTTGTTCATATTATCTATACCAGCAAAGTTATACTAATGATCCTCATAATTGGCTTTCTTTTCGCACCTATGACACAAAACTAATGCTGATGTATGGCCGCATATTTTTCTAATGGCAGGGACATCACACAAAGTTATTATCAATGCCGCTCAAATGTCTCTTCCATCTGAGAATTCAAATGTGTGATTTAAAGACACTTCAGTCCATAGTGTTTCTAATTTGTTAACAATTGGCGCAATATAATGATTTATTTTGTGTAGGCTAACTTCATGTAATTCTGGTAAAAGGCTAACTATCAGCAAATTTTCATGTTTAAATCAGACATCTCGCGGTAAATTACATATAGCACAATATATAATACCAGTACTATACATTGTGCATTTATACAGCTGAAACTAATCTAAATTAATCATTAGTTCAAAATGTGAATCAACCATATCAGCCTGAAAAAAATTAACTGAGTTTTCATCCTATAATATTTTCCAAACTTATTCGTCATATATATCAGTTAAAATTTGATTAAAAGATGCCTGATTTACCCAATGGCGCAATAATTTTTCAAAGTCAGAACAATAATACATAGATGCTAATTGTTGTCGAATACTAGCAAATGGATAAATTAGTATTGGTTAGTTTGAAACTTGTCCGTTTAATAATCTTGTTGATCGAGATAAAGCAGTCTGACAAAATCGTGTTCTATGATTTTTTGAATTTGGGTATTCAATATGATGACACATTGTAACAGTAGATGAGTCTCTAATTTCTTGCTTTTTGTATAGTTTGTGGCATTTTGGACATGCCGCAAAGCTATAAAATCGGTCCTTAAGATCAAGAACCTTTTTTACAAGATAAAAAGTGTCAGGAAATTTATCAAAATTAGCACATCCAATCTCTCCTAATACTAATTTTATGAATTTTAGCAATGATTCTGTAGCTGTTTCTAAAAGGTTAAACCTTATCCGAAAGCATATAATCCAGATTAAAATCTATAAAAATCAGTCATTGTTCATCATTTTTATAGCAATTAGATCCTGAAAGAGTTCAAAACTAGGGCAAGAGTAGTCTTCGAAAGTTTCAAAATACTCCTCTTCACTTGTTGATCCAATATCCTCTAAATAAAACACAGTATTTCAATCATTTTTAGTAGTAAATTCTACTCCTTCATCTATTAAATCTTTATGATTTGAAAGTTGAGGTGGGCAGTCGTAAACTGACAATTATACACACGTCTTTTAGGTCTTCTAGATAAGAATTTAAATTCAGATTCATCTACTATTTCAGTTTATTGTACGTTTTGCTGAATTTGATCGAATTGATGTAAAGAATCTGATGTAGGTGATTCATAGATAATAGCTATTTTAAATTCAACTTCATTTTCTTGAATTGTATTTATTATTGTCGATTTATTAAAAGAATTATTGCCTGATTTTTGATCTTTCAGATCATGTAGTTCTTTTGTACATGAATCCACTAAATTACTATTACATTTACTACAGTAATAATGCAATTTTAATCTTTTATGAGTATATATGCCAGAGGAATGATTCACTTGCTTTTCATCATTGATTATGCTGGCAATTGCTTTTTTTCTAGTCATTATTAAAATTTTGTTTGTAAATGCTTTAAATAAAATGTATTTTAACTACATGCACTTGAAAGTGAAACAGGAAAGCAAAATAAAGATTACGCATCTAATGATCTCACGTGTCTATGACTAATTTTTATAAGTTTTACAAAAGTTTATTTACTATACTATCAATTATACTTTCATTAATCAGTAAGTTATTAGATTAGTGATACTTTTTATATAAATAAATTTAATAATTTCGTTAAGATTTAATAAATTTCAACTTTCGCTTAGTTCACAAAGTTGAACTTGTCATTTTTTAATGCGTTTATTACCTTCACAGTATTTTTTACTGTGCAAGAATACAAAGATAATAAATTTTTACATATTGAAATTATGTCTTATAAAAATAAAGATAAAAAGGTACTTGACAGACATTCGATGCATAATCTGAATTTAGATGGAATAAAAAAAGTCGAACAAAATACTGCTTCTTCGAAGAATCAAAATAAAGGCAATACACAGACTGCTATTAAGCGACATTGTACCCCTCAGCAAAATTCTTCTAATCAAGTGATCGTTAGTCAAAATATCAATCCATAAGCAATTGTCTTATCCGTCTAGATATTCCAAAAGATAATTTTAAAAGTAATCAACCAAATACTCGATCAAATACTTTAGGAGTTCAAGAAGGTATTGGCTGAAATACTTCCTTTTTATTCTCGAGAAGCCCCTCTGTGAGAAACTGATCAAGAAATGATGATATTAGAGAATTGCAAGCAAAAAAATCCAGCATTCGCTTGCCAAGTAACCTATTTAATATTTTTAATGATGGACAGAAAACTGCCATAAGTACTGTAACAAAAATACCAGTGGAAGTCTTACAAGTTCAAAATCTAGTTGAATATACATACTGTCAATCTACTTACCAAATATTTTTTTTTTATTTTTTAGGAAACGATAGACTAGTACAGCTAATTTATGATTTACGAAAACAAAATGACCAATTAAAGCATCAAAATCAAGAATTTATCAGTAAAGTAGATGAAAATCAAGAGTCTGGAAGATGAAAATCAGATGCTGATAACTATAAATGAAGTATTTGGTCAGGAAAATGACCAACTAACCGCGTAAATTAAGCATTTTAGGTCATTTCGTCTACAAAGATCACTACAATCATCACAACATTCAAGTGATGATGATCTTGCTTCGCAAGCTAATGTCGAGTCAGATGAATATACCATTCGACCAGTTATATGTCGTAAAGGCAAAGGAAAGAGATCAGCCTGTACTGACAATGAAGTTGAATTCAACTTTGACTTAAATGAAGCGAGGGTTTGTAATTTATCGATTAGTTACATTATGTTGATCTTACTGAATTAATCTTTTATTTATAATAGACTGAAATGAAGTCAATTCTAAAGACTTTACCACTCGAGTTTAACCTGAATTAGAAGAAACTTTTACAAGCAAGACCAATACTGAAATTTGTTGAAAGCTATTACCTGAGCTTTTTAAAACAATGAGACCGAGATATAAACTATCCTATGATCAATTGAAAAACTGGTTGCAATCTTTACACAAATATAGAAG